TGATTGGTTTCATTTGAGCCTTTTCTCTTGTTCCTTCACCACCTGAATCGTCCATTTCTGACATCCTGAGGTTAAAGACGTGATGTGCAGCATGAAGAAGCGCCTGGTGACCCAGTCAGACCCGCACTGAGCCGATGTCTCAGCTGGATGCGACTCGCTGTGAGTCATGATGCACGATGATCTTATCTAGAAAAGACAGTTGGTCAAATTCACCATCATCTTTTCTCTTTTGTTGTTAATCACTGAATCATCTGTGGAGTCATAATTTAGCATGAATGTGACGTCAGATGTTCCCACATCCGGCTTGACGATACCGGATCAATCTGGACCGCTGCAGAACACACACATGGACACACAGAGAGACACACAGGGACACACAGAGAGACACACAGGGACACACAGAGAGACACACAGAGACACACAGAGAGACACACAGGGACACACAGAGAGACACACAGAGACACGCAGAGAGACACACATGGACACACAGAGAGACACACAGGGACACACAGGGACACACAGGGACACACAGGGACACACAGGGACACACACCAACATCCAGGCTTAACGCTAAGCAGCTTACATCCAGGGTCACAACTATTCATACCCCCAGCAGGTCCAGATTTAAAAAGAGTCTTAAAGGAGAAGAACTGAAAATAATTATAATAAATAATGACAACAGACATTATTATGTTTTATGTTCTCAACATTTTTATGATGTCTGCAACATGTGTCCAGATTTTTTGTGTTTTTAAGGTTAAATCTTTATAAAACTAAATAATTTCTGTCTGACTGTAAACCTGCATTCAGGTTTTTTATGTTCAACCTGTAAACATCAAACTTTGTGTCATATAGAAACTACTTCCTGTTTGACACAGAATATAGCTTCACTTTAGCTTCATGTCCGTCTGGGTCCTGATGCCGTGAGTTCCTCCTGATGAACCCAGGAGGTAATATTACCTGTAGACGTATTTCGGTATTTCTTCATACTTTCTTTCCAGAGCAGAGAAGAGAAGAACGTATGAACAGGAAACCAAATGCAGAAAAGGAAATGAGAGCAGACTGAGCAACAAACGGGAAGGCAGTGAACTTCAGACGTACGCAGAGGAATGAAGAGCAGAACATCGAGAGTTTGTTCATGTGATCCGTCAGGAAATTACAGGTTTTCTGGGGAATGTGGCTCCATCGGCTGCAGGTGGAGAAACGCTGAAACTAGAAGTTGAGTTGAGGATCAAACTGTTTTTCCACCTGATCTGGAATCACCTTTTCAAATTTACTCCACAAATCTCCTCAGAGATCTGCAGGATCAGGGTGGGAATGTTTGAGGAGTTCTCTGAGTCAGAACCAGAACCACATCAGAACCCAAAACCTGCTGCTGAGTAAACTGTGAACAGTAACGGGTTCAGACCACGGGGGCCACGGGGGCCATGGGGGACATGGGGGGCCATGGGGGCCATGGGGGCCATGGGGGGCCTCGGGGGGCCACCGGGGGCCATGGGGGGCCACCGGGGGCCATGGGGGCCACTGGGGGCCTCGGGGGGCCACCGGCGGCCATGGGGGCCACGGGGGGCCACCGGGGGCCACCGATCAGAGGAGCAGCTCCTCCTCCTCCTCCTCCCACCAGTAAACAAAGCAGAAAATGTTTCCCCAGGGTTCCTGTTGGCAAAGTTCTTCAACTTCTTATCTTTGATGTCTCTGTGTATAAAAGTCCATTTTAAGCTGCTGGAAAAAAAACAAATTCAGTTTATCTGTTCATCTAAACAGCGTTTAAACATAGGTGGAGGTCAGAATCCTCAGAGCTCAAGATACAGAAAAGCAGAGTTTTTATTCCTATATATGAGAAATAGCCATGAAAGCAAAGAAAAGCTGCATTAAAGACTTGAAGCTGTGATAAAGCAGGAGTTTTCAGGCTTCATGTGGTGGTTCTGGTCCCGCCTCCAGCGTTTCCTTTGTGCGTGCCAAACAGAGGCAGGCGGCGTTCTTCCTGCTCAATGTGAGCAGCAGCGAGGATGAAAATCCTGCAGGCAACGGAGGCTTTCATCCAGAGACTGAGCGGACCTTAAGATGAGACCTGGAGCTGGAGGGGCTCAACTTTTAATTATTTATATAAGACTCTTGCAAATTCAGCAGCTCAGCCACAAGGACCTGATGCATGAGAGAGAAGACGCTTTGTGAACCGACATCAACGGCCAGAACGCTTTTATTTACATGTTTATGATCATAAAGTTCATATTCAGGGATCCTGCTGCAGCACATAATTAAAAACAAACACGTTTCATAACCTTTTCAAACTGAGTCCTGCTGCAGAGTCGACTTTTCCTGGCAGTTTAATCCCTTTCCAGGCGACGGCTCTGCTGATCCAGTGATCAACCAGAGGAATCTCTCCATCGGACCTGAGCCTGATTTACTCTGACGTCACAGAGACTCAGATGATCATAATCTGATGAGACGTCTCAGCCTGAACGCTGAACCTTCACATCCAACTGACGACTCAAAAACAACAACATGGAAAAAGATTCACTGCTTTCACTCCGTCTGTAATCTGAGATCAATAACTGAATGTCAGGTTCACTTTAAATATTAGCTTCAAATGCAATAAACCACAACAGTTTTTAGAATTTCATCACTTCCAAACACAGTGAGAGAAATTCAATAAACTCATATTAACTTTATTCTCTATTATTTCAACTTCGTTCTCTTACGAATCCATTCTAGTCATTTATTATATTTTCTTGGGGTTTTATGTGATGAAATGTTGAAATGCATTAATTATCTGGTCATCATCTCTACTCATGCAAATCACATCAGTTCTCACAGCGAGTTGCGTTTGCAGCAGCGATCCACCGACAAGCTGCTGATTTAACATCTGCTGTGGTCCCACACATCCAGCCGCTGCCCCTCGGCCAGGGGAACAGGTCAAAGGTCAACTCCAAACCACTTGGAGTCTGTCACCCAGAGAGCTGAGGGAACGACCCTGAAGATTCAACCCAGAGGTCAAAGGTCTTGATTGGTCCAGTATCGGTTGTTAAGAGGGATTAACAGATGGATGCAGGACTGAAGAGACCAAAGTTTGTCCAACATCCGATCTGAGAAAGACAAGAAACAAGATGCTGCAATGGTCTAGTCAAAGTCCAGACTCATCTCTGACTGAGATGCTGTGTTGGATTCTTTAAACTCCTCTGGAGTGTCGCCAGCTGGGCTTGTCAAACAGGAAGTGACATCAGTGCCACTAACTGCTGGCTTGGAACTGGTCCCAGTTAGTGAACTGGTCCCAGTTAGTGAACTGGTCCCAGTTAATGAACTGGTCCCAGTTAGTGAACTGGTCCCAGTTAGTGAACTGGTCCCAGTTAGTGAACCGGTCCCAGTTAGTGAACTGGTCTGGTCCCAGTTAATGAACTGGTCCCAGTTAGTGAACTGGTCTGGTCCCAGTTAGTGAACTGGTCCCAGTTAGTGAACTGGTCCCAGTTAGTGAACTGGTCTGGTCCCAGTTAATGAACTGGTCCCAGTTAATGAACTGGTCTGGTCCCAGTTAATGAACTGGTCCCAGTTAGTGAACCGGTCCCAGTTAGTGAACTGGTCTGGTCCCAGTTAATGAACTGGTCCCAGTTAGTGAACTGGTCTGGTCCCAGTTAGTGAACTGGTCCCAGTTAGTGAACTGGTCTGGTCCCAGTTAGTGAACCGGTCCCAGTTAGTGAACTGGTCCCAGTTAGTGAACTGGTCTGGTCCCAGTTAATGAACTGGTCCCAGTAGTGAACTGGTCCCAGTTAATGAACTGGTCCCAGTAGTGAACTGGTCCCAGTTAGTGAACTGGTCTGGTCCCAGTTAGTGAACTGGTCTGGTCCCAGTTAGTGAACTGGTCTGGTCCCAGTTAGTGAACTGGTCCCAGTTAGTGAACCGGTCCCAGTTAGTGAACTGGTCTGGTCCCAGTTAATGAACTGGTCCCAGTTAATGAACTGGTCCCAGTTAATGAACTGGTCCCAGTTAATGAACTGGTCTGGTCCCAGTTAATGAACTGGTCCCAGTTAATGAACTGGTCTGGTCCCAGTTAATGAACTGGTCCCAGTTAATGAACTGGTCTGGTCCCAGTTAATGAACTGGTCTGGTCCCAGTTAATGAACTGGTCTGGTCCCAGTTATGTAAGCAGTTCTGGTTTCATTCTGGTTTCGTTTTGTGGTTTGCGATCCGTCTGGATAACTTTGTTTACTCGTGAATTATTGCTGAATCTCCTCCATGTTTGTAAACACAGGAGTTGTTTTGTTTTGCTCCAATGTTTACAAACATTACTTACGTATCATAACCTCTCAGAAAGACGCTCAGCTTGTGTTGTGTAATATTTTAGCTGCTACTGGTCAGAAAATCAGATTGTAGCTTCAATCTAGGAGTTTTTAAAGAAGATAAACGAACAAATATTGAAAAACAAATAAAGAATATGAAGAGAAGAACGTTTTTGATTTGGTTTTTATATTGTTTATTTGGTTTATTTCAATAAAAGACACTGGAGCCGTCGAGTCGTTAGCACAAATATAGAAATTTATTTCAAACAAGGAATACATAACCAACATGGCGACACCCTTCAAGTGAGACTCGAAACGCCGCGGCTTTTCTTCAGACTGAGAGACGGAAACATGTCCGCTGCATCCACACATTCTGTGATCAACAATTGCACTTTGTGAAAACAGCTAAAGGAAACGATGCATTCAGACTTTACAGCACTTCTCTCTGACACCAGAACCTCACACATTTCCAAACTTCCTCACTTTCATGACCAACCAATCACATTCCAGTCTTTTCTTGTGACATCTTCTTAGCAGCTTAGCTCCTCAGGATTACATCACTCAAGCTCATTTACCAGACAGACATGTGCAATCGACAAGGAGGGAAAGAAAGGGCTGCATGACTCCTGTTTGTACAACCGAGGCGGTTCTGTGTGAACTTGTCTACGTGTGACAGAAGGTGCAGGAGGTTTAGTGTTTGCTTCATTAGAAATGAATCAGCTGTGTTTTCTGTGGCCATGCATCCCCAAGCTTTCTCTTCAATATGAAGGATTAATGCCAGTAATTAATTCCCCTCAGCTAACAGACGTTGTCACATTGAGAGGGACATCTCAATCAGTGCATGTTCAGCTAGCATCTGGCCCACAGAAAGGGGCCAACCGTCCTCATGTCCTCTGAGAGACTTTATTTCAGCGGCAGGCACAGAGACAAGGCACATTCAACATATTTTACAGAGCAGAGCTGAGCTTCAGGTGATTTCCCTCCTGCTCCTCCAGTTTAATCATTCACCGGCCCAGTGAGCGGTTCCGGCTGGAAGCAGGTCAGTTGAGTGGGCTGAACTCGGGGTTTTGTCCGGTTTGTGAACCTTCAGGTTCAGTTTGCTTTGAGTGGATGGGACTCGGACCCGGAGCTGGCTCTCTCACCAGTAAGGCACGGTGCTGTCGATGTGACCCCAGCTCTGCCAGCCGGGGAACAGTCCGCTGGACATGCGCGGGCTGCCGAACTGATCGAACTCCAGCTCCGGGACCTTCGGCGCTCTGGCGGTGAGCTCCGGCGGTTTCTGCTGCGCCGCAGAGTCTTTGCTCAGGTCCTCTCCGCTCCAGCCCACGTGCTTCAGAGGGTAGTTCTTGCCTTCGTTATTGTCCCAGTAGGTCTGGCCCTGGACCCGGAAGCAGATGCAGAACTCGATTCGGTTCTGGGGCGGGGTGTACGCCGGCAGCTCCAGCTTGAAGGCGAAGGTGTCGGTGTCCTGGCAGCCGTAGACGTTGTTCAGGAAGCTGCAGTCCACGTCGCTGAAGGTCGCCCACGAGTCATAGGTGACCCGTACCTGCACCGACTTCTCATAGCCCACGTTCCGGACCTTGATGGTGCCGGTCAGCGAGCGCTCCTGCAGCGAGCAGTTCTCCAGGGAGACGCAGTTCCGGATCAGCCGGTTCCGGAAGTCCAGGTAGTCGGCGGACGGCTGCTTGAAGTCGAGCGCCAGGCTGCGCACCGAGCTGATCTTTAGGTCCATGGTGGCGTTCTCCAGGTCGCTCATCTCGAACTGCAGCTCCTCGGCGATCCCGTCCACCGGCTTGTTCTGGTACCGCTCGTCGTCGAACTTGGAGAAAACGTGGATGGCGGTGAGCGACAGACCCTTGGTGTCGGCGAACACAACGCTCTTCTTCATGGGCTTCTTCTTGGCCCAGGCCACGTGGGCGCCGTCGTCGGCCGCCCGGCGCTGGCTGCTGAGGCAGGGCCGCAGCGGCTGGTAGAGCTGCTGGCTGCGGGCGCTGGGCTGGTTGGCCCGGCTCTTGGCCCGCTGCAGGTCGCCGTAGGAGCTGATGAAGCTCCGCAGAGGAGGCGGAGAGTGGCTGATGTAGAACCTCATCGCCACGTCTGTCATGACTGGTCCAGGCATCGCGGACGGACTGAAGGACGTGAGCACGCTGAGGGACAGAGCAGAAACACAAAGGTCCAGAAGGATCAGAGCCGGGATGGCAGGAAACCAGAACAACAAAACCTCTCTGAGCTGCTCAGTTAGCTTCACGTCTGAATATCTAAAATAAGTTACAAGATCAGTTCTTACCACGAATGAACAAGTTGCTCTGCAGGAAACGTTTTATTATAAACGAAATAATCTACCAGGGGAAACATGCTTTTATTATGAATATTACAGAATTACTGACAAATGGTCAGTTATACACATTTACCAGTCTTGTATAGTAATTTATTATTAGGTTTTCAACACTATTAAACCTTTTCTTAGCTTTTATACTCGATGCTGCTGCTTCACCTGGACAGTAAAGGATTTTTCTTTTCTATTCTAAAGTTTTAGTTTCCCATCATTTCCAGGATATTAAGATATTTGCACTAGAAAATAAAATATGTTCTGCTGTTCAGATCAAACTTGACCTTTGACCTTGTCGTCTCGTTCATCTCTGATGTTTCTTACCTTGCAGCACTCATGGGGTCAGAATCGAGGCTCCGAGCAGAAACAGGAAGGTTTCCGGTGCAGCTGCGGCTCTACAGGCTCATCCTGCTCGCTCCGCTCCTCAGTGCCGAGCTGCGCTCTGCTCTCTGCGATTTCAACTGCCTGCAACGCAACATTTGCATACGCGGTCATCTGGCTGCGCAGGCAGCCAATGGGGAAGCCAGAGGCCAGTCCGCAGCGGCCAATCAGCTGCCAGCAGGCCTGGCTGCGGGCCAGCTGATTGGGGGAGCGACGCCTGGCGGCAGCAAGAGCTGCAGGACGGACCCCTGCTGGCTGGACCCTCTGGACCCGAACCAGAGGTACAGAACCCGGTACAGAACCCGAACCGGGCCGGTACAGAACCCGAACCGGGCCGGTACAGAACCGATCACGCAGCGAAGATGAATCAAAATGTCATCCAGTAAAGACACTTGGAAAAGTTTCACATCATAAAGTTATGTTGAACTTTCTCTATTTTAAAGACCAAAATGACAATAATTCATTGAAAAATATCAAAATTTCACCCAATAAATTAATTTATAACTTTTCAGAAAGAAATTGCAGCCAGATGATTTCCCTCATATCTAATAAACCAGAGAAACTTTTTCATAAGAATCATTGATGTAAAATAATTTCCAAAAACATTTTTGAGATTGTTCAAAAATGATTTAGAAATTAGTTTTAATTTTAAAAAATTGTTTTTTTAAATTAAAAACTAATTTAAAAGTTTATTATTATTATTATTATTTCAAGTGTATTAAGATTTTTGCACAAGACTAAAATAAAATAAGATTTGTGTTTTTGCCATGTTTATTCAAAAATATGTGAATACAAATAAAATCAGGAAAGGAAACATTTTTTCCTCATCAGTTTCTTTCTGAACCTTCAGAAACTTTGAGGCTTCAGGAGTTTGATTCATTCAGGGAGGAGAGACAGAAGTTTTACTCAAATAAGAAGCAAAGTAAAAAGCTCCTAAAATGACATCTTTTTCAAAACGTTACTCCAAATGTAGTTAGTTTCTCTCCATCTCAGACTCGTTTCCCAGAATGTTTCCTCTTTGTCCTATGAATCTGCTCACCTTTTATTACAAGATGCTTCATCTGATGTGGAAAAAACACAAGTCAGGAGGAGTTTCTGCTGTTTTGGACGTTTTTGGAGTTTTCTGACCTCATTGATTTCCAGCAGAGTTAAACATTACTAAAGCATGTAAACATGGGACAGAAATTGGGTGAACTTCCTTTTGCTTTTCTTAGTTTTCGGGGAGCTGTCGTGTTTCTCTGTCGTGTTTCTCTGTCGTGTTTCTCTGTCGTGTTTCTCTGTCGTGCTTCTCTGTCGTGTTTCTCTGTCGTGTTTCTCTGTCGTGTTTCTCACGTGTGCAGAGGGTCGCTGTGACCTGCTGGTTCATCATCTGACACCGAGGACGAAGGTTTGAGAGACGTGAACAGCAATCAGACTTTATTTATAGAGCTTGTTTTGTACGGCTGGATTTTATGCAGAGGATGAAACAGGATGACAGACATGAAGCCACCAAACTGAGTCACACAAATTAAATCACTTTAAGGTCCATAATAAGAAGATATACACGATTAAATAATTGCAGCAGAAAAAATCACGTTTTGTTAACAAAAGTCTAAAAGATCATTGGAAAATATGCATAAACAATAACAGACATAAATATAAAACATGACATTTTTATTGTTACATAATTCTCTTTTTATCAATTTTCTCTCTTTTTCACTCCAGTTGTCATAAAGTATAAAAACTTAAAAATCTCCTGAAGGTAAAAGAGAAAAGTTTGGACCCGACCGTCTGTTTCTGTATCTTTAATTTTCCCATCAGAAGCTACTTTAATGAAAACAGTTTGATTTGCACATTAATAGTCCAAACAATAAGATATTTCATTTATTTTAACGAGTCTCAGTGCAGGACCAGCAGAACTATTGATCTTCTGAACCTTATCAATATGTTTCAGCGTTTTAAGCCATGTATTGTCGTGTTTTATTAAATTACACTGTCCTCTTTCAAATAAATACATTATATCACAATTTCATGTTTCGGCTTGTTTTTACATTCATAAACATAATAATGTGTCACTGCTCTGAAATTCAGTAAAGATTTGTGATCAAACCTTCAGATGAAGATCAATGATCCAATCACTTTGCACTGAGTTCACGTTGCTGCAGCATCATTTTCATGACCTGATGCTGAACCCAGGAACTTTTACGAAGGAAGGAAATTGTTTCATCTTCTGGGTTTTATTCGCCTGTTTCCCATCAGACAGAGTTTCTGTAAAGTTCAGTCTGTTTACATCAGGGATGGTAGACACAGGATGACCCTTGGTGACCCCACCACGCCCTCTGACCTCCCAACAGGAACTCTGCAAAGGTTTTTACTTTTCTTTCCATCTTCATCCCTCTGGAAGGAAAACTTTGCCTTTCACAGTTGATTTAAACTTTTTAATTTTCTCTCTACTGCAGTCATTTTTTTAAAAAAAGTTTAATTATTTTTGCAACTCATGAATGGAATGTTTTCCTGTTTTTCCCATTTTGAAGAAGAATTCGTTCCCAAGACTAATTTCAGGGAGTTTCTGATCTGTGTGAAAGCTGCAGGTTGAGAGTCTCTGCAGGAGGCAGGATGAGGCTCTGCTGCTGATCTGACCTGCACGTCTTCATGGATCGGTTTTGTTGCAACACTTCAGGCCAACAGAGATGGGCAGAACAGAAACAGTTATTGTCACTTTGTTTGTCCTTTTTCTATCTCATGCGAACATTTTGGCTCTAAAAGTGACGACCTTTGTCTGTTTGCTTTTCCTGATCCTCTGGTTTTTCAGGGGGTGAAGAACATTTTGTCCTTTTAATGATCAAATCCCAGCAGAGTTTATAGTAAAAGAATCAAAATAACCACAAGGTTTCCTCCTTGAAGAGCCAGCCGGCTTCCTTATCTGCTGGAGGTCAGAGGTCAGAAATCTTTTTGTCACTTTGACGGCTTTCACAACCCAAACAGTCTTGTTTTACACGTGAGTCATGCAGTGAAACTTTAGACTGCAGCAGCTCCACGCCGCTCTCACATGGCCTGGGACGGTAACGCTCCGAGTCCGTCGGGCTCCGAGTCCGTCGGGCTCCGAGTCCGTCGGGCTCCGAGTCCGTCGGGCTCCGAGTCCGTCGGGCTCCGAGTCCGTCGGGCTCCGAGTCCGTCGGGCTCCGAGTCCGTCGGGCTCCGAGTCCGTCGGGCTCCGAGTCCGTCGGGCTCCGAGTCCGTCGGGCTCCGAGTCCGTCGGGCTCCGAGTCCGTCGGGCTCAGCGCGGCGAGCCGCCGCAGCAGGTTGCATCACAACGCTTCGCTTTGGGTAGCTGCTGCAAAACGTAAAACAAATCACCCAAAAGCAGAAGTCACTCTTTCAAGTTTACCATCATTATGAAAGCTGGATTTTCCCCGTTTTCATTTAAATAACTGATTGTTTTGGTGAATCCTGAGAAAACAGCTTTCAGGTCCAGATTCACCTGTTGCTCTGATGTTTAAATGTGAATCCAGAACCGGAGAGCCGTGAGGGAGCTGCAAGGATCAGGCAGCAGAGGATCCTGCCAAGGAACAAGACCGGGATTTAAAACAGAGCCGGAGAAAAAGCACTAAACAGAAACTTAATCCTGGGATCTTCTGCTGGAATAAACTGAGATTACAGGCTGAGCTGCAGGTTAAACCAGAGGAGTTATGAAACACATCAGGGGGTCGAGGATTAAAACTGCTGCATGAAGGAGAAACTTTTCATGCTGATGGGAAACTCTTTAAAATATCCAAAAACAAAAAGCAGCTTTGGCTTCTTCCTTCCTTTCAGCACAAACTTTCCCTAAAATAGCTTTCTAAAAACTTTTGAAATCTTTAAATGTAGGAAAACAGAAACCTGAACTCTCTGCTGAATGACCTAAAGCAGGTGAAGCAGCAGCAGCTCCGGTCAAAGGTCAGATCCATGCAGCAGGCCCTGTCGTCAGACCGAAGATGCATTAATCATTGACTGTTATGAATTTTGCAAATTATTTATTTAATCTAAAGCGAGTTCATATTTAAAACTGCAGACTCAAATCCTTTCCTCCTGATTTTTGTTAAACGGCAGAATATACATTTATGTTTATGCCAATAATTGATCAATATTGAATGTTTTTGGATATTTTTGATGTTTTATCCATAAGTTGATGTGAGTTTCTGTCACTCAGAGTGAAAACGTTCCCTGCCCTGGTTTGGTCTCATCGCTCTGACTTCAGGTCATGTTTGTGTGGGTCGGTCCATCATGTTCCCGTCCATCGACCCAACTCAGAAGAACCGAGCCAGGAGTACTTTCTATGTTCACGTCAGGAGCCATTAGAGCGTCTGACTGGTTGGTCACTGATATGAACTTTCATACATTTTAAATCTTTGATTTCTTTCTCTATAAAATGTTTAAGACAAACAATTTCTTGTTTCTTTGTAACAGAAAACTTGAAAAATCATCAAATCTAATTATGGTTGTTTTTCTTGTCATAAATACCAGTAACTGTCAGATCAAGTCAACTGGCTACTTCCTGGTTTTTCACTGGGACCAGTACCACCAGTCCAGTTGACGTGAAACCGTCTCTGGTTCTGTTGGCATGGTTACCATTCACCGAGCAACGACCTGCAGACACAACGGATCAGGAGAGGAAATCGGATGCCATGATTGGCTGACAGCAGTCACATGACCTGCATTTCTGTTAAGTCAGAAGGTTTTATGTTTTCCTCTGTTTACCACCAACAGCTGAGATCCAGCAGAGCTCAAGTGAATCTGACATGGCAGCAGGAGATCCAGTATGAAAACAGTCCAGATTCTTTCCACATGAACGTTCACTTTCAGGAGCAGGGCGTTTCTTCTGGAGGTAATGAAACAACTCCAGGCTCAATAAATCAGAGTTTCACAGCAGCAGAGGAGAAACAGAACCAGTCTGAGTCTTCACTGAGAATGTCAACTCCATCGAACTCGATCGCTACGCCAAGCCGACTGGAGACTGATTCAGACACAGGAAGTGGACCACAACCAGAACCAACACGCTGATCTAGTGCAGTGGTTTCCTTTTAGCTTATATTTTATTATTTCATTTAATAA